CCCCAAAACCCCAAAACCCCAAAACCCCAAAACCCCTGTTTTAGAGGCCAAGTTGAAAATTTAAGAAGGATTTTTAAGAAAAAAGGAGCAGAGGTGTTTTAGGATGAAAGTTTTAGGAGATGTCTTGTCTCACAGCGAGTCTGAAAGCTTTGTTAGTGATGAAAAGCCTACTTTCTTCTCTGTGTGAAGGGAGTAAGCTCTTCTCCTCTTCTTCGTTTTGAGGGATTTCTTGGTCTTCGAGAGGAGGAATAGTGAATTTTTCTAGTGTTTGAATCTTGTCACTTAGCATAATTCCTTTTGTGACCCTGATTAGCCCGTTGACTGGAGCTTGGAATAACATATATAGCCCAAATGATGCCAGAAAGGAGATTCAGACATTCGCTACAAAAGTATAAATCAAAGTGGGATATGATGCGAAATATGTATCATCAGTTGCTGTGAACCCAATAGTAATTACTATTGGATAAATTAAATAGCAACCCAAGCAAAGTTTTGATAAAGAAATCCACACTTTTGATGATAGAACCTTCTTCATTGCGTTACCGTATCCGAAGAAAATGATGAACATGAAAGCAAGGACACTGGAGAGATATCCTGTTGAACCTAATGCAAAATAGATAGTGTTTTGCCACCTTGTCCATGAATAACCATTTTCATTGGCTGATTTCGGGATTCCTGAAATGAAGATTATCATTCCAACTGCGTATAAATAGAGCGCAATATTAGCTAGGAGAGAGTTATTGAAGAAATGAATGATCATAAAGTGTTTCTTCTTATCATAATCGCTCGCCTTTCTGTACTTTAAAATTCTGAGATAGAGATACCCAGCATAAAGTCCAATAGCTAGGTTGAACAATTTTGTGTGAACCTTGTTGAATTGATAAGTGTAAAGGTAGTAATCTTCGAAAGTGAGGATTCCAACAGTCAATTTGTTAGCATAAGCTATGTATCCAACGATGATAACTCCTGCGACATATAAGAGGAATAAGAGTCATAGGAACACTTTAGTGTTCCTACGATAAATAATGATCCATATTGGGAAAAAGAACGAATACAGGAAGTAATGAGGGATCAGATAAGCCCAATAGTAGCATCCTTCTAACGCTTTGGTAAAATATGGGAAATAGGTGTTCAGGAACGTAAGCACAAATGGCCAATCAGAGCTTCAGCTGACAAAGAGTCTCTCGGATACAAACCAGTTTGCTCCTGTTGAGAATATAGGCACCATCATCCAGCCTGCGAAGAATACGAAGTAATACACAGGAGCGATTTTTAAAAAATTATGCAGGATAATTCCTGCATAATCAAGAAGTCCAAGACCTTTACGTATATCATAGAGCTGGTTTACTTTTATGAACCCCATCATGGTGAATATCATGAAGAAGAAGTCACCTGCTTTATTTGCTGAAGAAATAAAAGAGAAAAGAAGGAGTTGGAAAAAGTATAGAAGGATAGGTAAGTTACGTCATGTACTAGTCAGAGCATACAGGCTGGAGTACATGATGATCCCCCAGCATAGTGTAATTACTTTCATAGCTTCTATAACGTCAAGTTCTGGATCATCTAGTTTGTTCCTTTTTGGGGAAATTAAGTGCTCGAGGTTATCCTGAATTGAAAAGCATCTAAAGTATCTCCTAAGTATAGTATCAGATTCTTCCTCTTGGATAGTTTCTAATTTAGGTGGAGCTTGATCCTTTGTGAAAAGAGAATTCTCTCTTTCTTTTGCTTCCTCATTCTGACCTAATCTGTTTTGAAAACTATTGGGTCTCAAAAATTCAGAAGTTCTTGTTTTTATAGTTTGAGCTGCTGTATCGCGCATAGCATATTCCTGCTCTTGCTGTTGCTCTACCTGAGAAGTTTCCTTCTTAATATTGTCAGATGGAGGAGCAGAAATTTTTGATGGTTGCTTTAAAGTGGCAAGTGAGCCAAAGAAAGCCAAAAACGCAAGAAACCCAATGAATCCTGCCACTGCAGCTGCACTTGCTCCACTCTCTTCAGTAGCTTGCTTGTTTCTCGCAGTTGGTTGAAAGAAGTAGACTTGTAATCCCACGTTATTGTTAATCAAAATCCCAATGTTAAATCGAAGTGCTAAACTTTTAGCAAGCTTAGATAAAGTTTCTGAAATAATTTCTCCAGCTCTTTTCATGATAGTCCAATTTCACTCAGAGGGTAAGCAAAGACCTAATCTAATGTCAATAGGAAGCATGGTAATATTCAGCTGTAAGATATTATAGTCAGCATTCTCCACATTGTCACATTGCCTATAATCTCCAAGGTCTCCAACATCAGAAAATTGAGAACCAAGCATAATTCTGTAGCTACCTGAGAACATGTCTTTAGTGTATGCATTAAAGGCTTCATATCATTTATCATAATTCTCAGCTTTTTTATTTTGCCTGAAATTACTTTGCATGATTTCGAATTCGTCAGCATCATGGACTCTGACTGTTGCTGATGCAAGCTGCTCAATGATCCCTTGAGTTAGTCTAGCAGAAAGAGCCGGTTCAGAGTTATGTTTACTCTTGAATGTGACTCTTCTCCCAGCACTAAGCAGGATCAGAGATATTAAATTAATAAGCATTACGTAGATCCCACGAGGATATACCATTATTCAAAGTAATAAAGTTGATAATATAATATAGAAAAGGGGTTTTGGGGTTTTGGGGTTTTGGGGTTTTGGGGTTTTGGGG